GGTATTCTATGTTCCCTAGCATGTGCTATACATCATGTGAAACCCATCTGTCACTTATTGTCACCCATACCACGTAATCAATTTGTCACATCTTAGCCAGCACGAAATTTTTTATTTCAAATTTTATCTCATGAAACCTCGACTATGCTTTCCATTCTCAATTATTTTGATTCATAAAAGCATTATTTTATTGAGGGTGAAGAATAGTTTTTCATATTCAATCTTATTGACTTGCGTGCATGATTTTTCTATACTTTTAATTAATAATGAAGAAAAATTCCTGCCCCACCAATATCTCCAAGTTATTAAATTTTTAAAAACTAAGATAGTTTTCAAAATAGTTAAATTTATATAAGATTTAGATATTTTGGTAAAAATTTATATAATGATACCGAGTGTTATATTTATAGTACATGATATGATTGTAATAAACTAATAATAATAATAATAAATAAGTAGATAAAATTCATTTTATTACTTATTTTTCATTTTTATTAATTATTATATTATTAAAAAATAAATAATAAAAAATTAATATTGCTAAGTATGGGTTCATCCAAATAAAATAAAAAATGTTAAAGTTCAATAATATGTAAGCAAAAAAATCATAATTTCATAATATTCTTTTACATGACTCGTGTATTTGTGAATATGTTTTTTTATATTAATTCGTATGAAAAATATCTAATAATATTAAAATTTGTAATCATTAAATAAAAAAATAAAGAAATCTATAAATCATAAAAATTTACAAAACTAATGACTTCAAATTTTTAGTTGAAATTTATAACCACAATATTAATCCTTTTTCGCAAATTCCTAACAAATATTAAAAAAAAAAACAAATAGATAAGACACTCTCTAACATCAACAAACAATAATAAAAGAATAACAATGAACTATAACTATATATATATATATATATATATATATATATATATATATAATACATATTAATATCAGAACAGCAAAATAATTTAAAAGTTAAAAAAAAAAATTGAAACATCAAACAATATTTTAAGAATTTTGTATTTTAGGCTGGTGAATTGTTAAATATCTAGTTATCATCAAAACAGTTTCATGAAACTTTAATACTTCCTCATATACATGGAAAAACTTACCAATTACATATGTTTTGAATTGAACCATATTCAATTCAGGAGAATATGCATTGCCAATGCACTTCATACATCTACATTTATGATACAATTAACATCATAAATATATTAAAAAAAATAACAATAACATTTTTACGTGAAAATTGACTGGTTTTAGAGGTTTTTAAAAAGTTATTGTAGACCACTCTCCGTTTCTCATTTTAAATTAAATTCTCCAACAATTTAATTATTTTAATAATAAGCAATCACATATATATTTTTTATTTTATTTTATAAACTCTTATTATTTTTCCATACTCACATGTATGTTTTACATAGTTTTATATTTGTCTCTTACGAGAATATCGAGAATATGTATATTAGAAAAATTTCCGGTCTTTGAACTATTTTATCACAAAGTACTCTACTTACGAAAAATATAAACTTGAGTAGGTTTTTTTAGCTGTGATGGCGCTGTATCTCCAAAAAAATTATATCTTTTAATAAGAAAGAGTCTTTGACAAAAATAATTCTAAATAATAATAAAAAACAAAATCCATTTTTATATAAATATTTTAGAACAATGTTCTTTTCAATAATCACGGTGACTATTTTGTTTTATAAAATTAATAACTTGGAATTTCATTCTCTTATAAAATCACTAGTTTCATCTATATTCCTTAAAAAACATTATATTTGTACCAATTTTCAATTAATTAAAAATATAAGAGAGGTAAGTATCATTGATTAAAAACACACGTGAGGTAGGTGTCTATTTTAAAATTAGAAGGGTAAGACTCGTTAAGTAAAATTTATCCGATAAGACATATGTTGAAAATTTCTAATATCGTATTTTTAACTCCCGTATTAAAGTAAGTTATTTTTATGAATTTTAAAAAATTGTAGTTTATAATTGTTTGGTAATAACTTTTTTGGTTTCACGCTATATATGATTTAAATAGTTGTAAAAATTAAATTATTTTATAATGAATTACGTGTGTGATGGTTACTATAAATTAGTATGATTATAATCAAATGTTGTTGAAATATAACTTTAAAATAGTTAACTTTGTTTTGATATAACAAATAAAAAATATATTTTTTGGTAAAATTTGGTCATATAATTTTAGTAAGTTAAAAATTACTCACAATTGGATGCTTGAAAACTGAAAAAATCGTCTAATTTTTTTAGCTTGAGCACCACATTATATTAACACTTATGATATATATATATATATATATATATATATATATATATATATATATATATATATATTATTTTCGCAATCATAAACATACATAAAATTGATACATTTGTTTTGGTTTTAACAAATCTCTGATATCTTTCTTCTCATATATAGTTTTATTAAATGAAACAAGTATATTTAAACAAAATTTGAGACAAAGAAAAAAAAAACATAATTTCAAAAACAAGTTTAAATATAAAAAGCATGAACGGGTTAAATGCAAAGACATAAATCTATAGTATTTTGAAGAAATAAAGAGTACGTTGCATTCAAAATTAGAATAAAGTAGTAATAAAAAGTCTAACAAAAGTAAACTCGCAAATTCATCATCTATTAGCATTGAAGTGTTATAAAAATTTGAGTGTATTAAGTATTTTCACATCTAAATTCTACAATAATTCTATTATTTATAAATATAAATAATGTAATTTTTTTTTTTACTTTTTTTAAATAGAACGTGATGAAATCGCATGTCCCCACGCTACACTATCCACGACGTCACCTTAATAGTGTGCGATGTGTCTTGAAACCATTTCAATTTTTTCTGAACGCGTTCCGTCTTTTATAATTAATTCATAATTTCTATAAATCATTGATTTTGCATGAAATTATAACCTCCTTGTCGAACTTCAGGCTTCTTGGTATACTTTTTACTCATTTATTTATTTATTTTATCAACAGATTTAAGACTCTAAACCAACAATATAATTTATTTTTTAAATAATATAAATTAATAATAATTAACATCATATAATTACACATCTTCAATTATATAAATTTATCATAAAATAAAAAACAACAATTAAGATTAACAAATAAAATAAAATTTATTCAAATACTTGATAATGATTTTAATGAATTCAAAAATTAATATATATATATTTCCGCCGACACCGTTATCAACAACTTCCTCTGTAAAATTCTTTAGTAACTTTTGTCGATTTTTTCATACTCCAATTAATTTAGAAAACTATTAAAAATAGTTGAGTTGAAAAAATAGATTCATAAAATTAGCTCTTTTCTTTTTTCAAAATTCATTTATTATTTGAAACATGCAACTAAAATTTGTTTATCACATTTAAATAAAACTAATTATGTTAAAACCTTTCCAATAAAGTTTATATCAACAAAAACACATTTGATTACAGTAATTATTTATTGTAATGATTTGTTTGGCATTTGTTCCGTATCTTAAGACTTCCAAAGCAACAATCATTTTGGGTTCTTGAAAAGTGACTGGGCTAAAAGTTGCTTAAAGAAAGTTCGTAGTTGGTACGATATGCGGAGTGATAGCCAGCACATACATGATACTACAACTTCACACCGCGTAATTGTTTTATTTCGGAACAAACTAGCTTTTTGAGCAGTGATCGTTACTCCCACAAAGTTCAACAAATAAAGCAAAGTGTTTTCAACTTTGTTTTTCCTTGAAAACACCTCTAGCTTTTTCACACCATTTTCTACTCGCTTGCGTACTTGGTGACGAATTACAAATGTATTATAATATTGCACGATTACACCTTTTTAACGCTCACATTTGTTTTTTACTTCATCTCACAATATTCATATAGTGTACAAAATAGTGTAATTTTTCTTGTAATTTTAAAATGTTTCCAAGACCAATTTCAACACAACAGTTTTAACTTTTCTGTGCCCCCACATAACCTTTTATTTCCTCCTCGTGAAGGAGAGAAATTAAGTACTTATTTTGACTGAGAAATCAAGTTACTGCTCACACTATATATAGAATGGGAAACAAGAAAAATCTTTATAATAATTAACAATACTTTTTAAATTTTGCAAAAAACCTGTGACATGTTTAGATGAGAGAAAGAAAATTTGGAGAAAAGAAAAAACATGAATAATAATATGTACTTTGTTCAATCAAAATAAAAAGTTTTTTTTTTTTTGCTTTTTTACCTTTCTGTCCTCTATCTCACGTACTAGTTACTACGCGTTCTCCCCACGCCTTGAAAACTGATAGATTGTCAGTGAAAAATTCGTAGGAGGATCAGTCTGAGTAATACCGGTGTCGGCATCGCCAGCCAACCCATGGTGTGTCACCGCCTATCTCGCCGGTGCTATTATATAACATACATCTAAGCTCTTAAGCAATGCCAGTGTTCACACGTACATATACATTTTTTCTGTCGACTTTCACACCTATATACCATATATATATATATATATATATATATATATATATATATATATATATATATATATATATCGCTGTTTACTAACTAGAATTAAACTCAGGCTACACTGGATGGTTTATTTGCAAATATACAAAGGCCAATTTGGTAAACAACCATGAACACATAGTAATTGATAATTGATAGATTATACATTTCAAACTTTTCATCCATGGTACACAAACAAGATTTTTGATGCATAAGGTAACTTTGATGATTCAGATGGAAGTTATAAAAACGATGATAGCTGACTAAGTAAAGACCACACTTCGCATCCAAATGGATAGAGTGCTCGTCTTTCTCTCACTACAATTTCGTCATTTTAAAAATAGTAATAATAACGATAACTATAACTATGTAGTTGTAACTCCACCAAAAATATTCGGGGAAGAAAAAAAATAATAAAGTTAATTGTGCATGCGTTCACACTTGTCACAGTTCACGTCACGACCAGGTTAGGGCTATCGTTCTTCTTGCTCACGGTGTTCGCGAGATGATAGCTGGAAAACCCAATTGGAGAGTGACTTTCTTCTTGAAGACGGAACTCTTTTCTTAGTGCACCCGTTGTCGTGATTTGACTCTTGGACGAAGGTCTCCAACCGTTTCATGGCTAGGTTTAGAGTTTCTTCGGACATGTTAGCAAAACACATCCGGAACCAGCCAGGTTCGGTGCAATGGCAGGACGAGCCAGGGGATATGTTTAACCGAACCTCGTAGAGTATCTTCTTCCAAAGCTCCATCTCAGCTTCGAATGTGTTGGAATGGAGAAGGTGCCTCATGTCAACCCAGCAAAACAAGCCTGCATTGTTGGTCTTAAGACAACTAATGCCTGCTTTCTGAAGGCCTGAAACGAGGCTTCTCTGACGTCGTTTCAGCCTCTTAAGGTTCTCAGAGATGTAGTTTTTGGTGAATTTCTTATCACCCAGCATGGCTGAGAGGAGGTACTGAGTTTGTGAGGAAACCAAACCAAAGCTTGACATTTTGGTCGCAGCTGCCACAACGGCGTCGTTTTCAGAATAGATGGCGCCCACACGTAATCCTGGTAAGCCCAAGTCTTTGGAGAGACTATACACAACGTGAACTCTGTCCCAAACTGTGGCAGCACAATCGTTAAGGTCATTTCTCTCCTTAAGGATTTCCATGATGCTGACGAAACCTGGAGAGTTGTAAACTGTCCCTGAGTAAATCTCGTCGCTTATTAAATGCATGTTTTTGTCTTTGATGAAGTCAACGAGAAGGTTCAATTCACTCCGGGACATTGTAGTGCCTAGTGGATTGGATGGGTTTGTCACCAGCACGCCTTTGACTCTGAGGTTGCGCTTCTTCGCCTCTTGATAAGCTTGTTGCAAAGCTGATTCAGTGATTTGGAAGTTATTGGAGCTTGTGCAATGTATTGTAACGATTTCCACCTCAGTTCTCCACTTGAGATCTCTATCGAATCTGCACAGTCGCAAGCAACATCAGAGATGTGTATGGGGAGCACAAAAAAAAAACTACCACGTGGGGGTTTGTGTATGTTTATATGTATACTAGGATATATTGTATTTTCTTACGTCAAATTTTAAGAAAATAAGACCATGTTCAAATAGTGTATTTGTCTCTCTCCTAATAGACAATAAATAAGACATTTAATATTTACTGAGAGATATTGAGACAACATTTAACCATGATATGTTATTAGTTGAGATGATTCCTGTTTTTGGACATTATTTATATTTATTGCAAAAGGAGAATGCAGAATGTTATACAAGTATAGGGAAGAAGAAACTAGTACACACCCAGGGTAATAAGGAGTGGGAAGGAGGAAGGCGTCTCCTTTTTCAGCAAGGCAAAACATGAGGGTCTCATTTGCTGACGTGGCACCAGCTGTTAGAACAATGTGGTTGGGATCAAAAGTCACTTTGTTTCCTCTGATCTCTGCCATGAAGTCTACCAATGCCTTCTTGAAGGAAGGGAGGCCATGGTAGTCCTGGAACAGAGCAAGCTCTCGGAATATCGATTTGCCATCGCTTTTGAATCCCACCACGTCAGGGTTTTTAGCCAACCAAAACTCTAGGAGATCGAAAGAGAGCTGAAGAAAATAATGACACATATCATTAGCTCACCACAATTATTAGGATGTCACTCAATAAAGCTTGATAAGATGCCATGTCTAAGCTAGCTAGATTCATGTCACGCAAAAGCGTACAGTGAACTCTGCTTCTTTGTTTCTTTTTCTTTTTTTTTGTCTTTTTATTAATAATTATTCATAATAGTAAAAGGAGCCTATGCGCTCCAATAAATAGTATTGCTGCAACTAACCTGATTTTCAGCAAGACCCATCTGAATAATTCCTTCGGGATTCAGACTCTCATCGTAAGGGTTCTTCTCGTATTCTTGCCATCCTAGGAAGTATGAGGAATCTTGGCCATGAGAGTTGCATGTGGCTTTTGTAGACAACAAATCCATATTTTTGTTTTTTTCGGGTAAGGGTGGAAAAGGACGAAGAAGTGTCTAAGATTTTTATCTGAAAAGAACTATGAAGAAATCAAATTGAAGCCCCTAGAAAAGGAGAAAAGCTCAAGCAATCGAATAGCTCGTAAAAGCGATTGGAAGAAAGAATGCCCAGAGTGAAGGTCCTAACTCTTGATCCTTTGGTACTAAAATGTTGAGGAGGATTGGTGGGGGAAGCAGTGCCCAAGGCTTGGTATTTATATGTGCCAATTGGTGGGGAACGAAGGACATAGGTGGGGTATGTATACATGCCAAAATCACATTGGCACATAGGGCCACGTGATGTTGAATATGACACTTTTGACCAAGTAGTGTCTCTTTGCTTACGAGGAGAGAGAGGGAGAAGAGGTGTTAATTGTACGCTCTTTGTCCACCGCCCCATCATGTCACGTGAACAGCACGCTCTTGCACATAACTCAAAATTGGTCAGCCACTAAAATATTCTTATCAATGATGGAAAAGTGCCTTATACAGGCAACACCCTCGCGTGGGATTTCAAGTTTATGTAACACATAACACAAGACATCCCGAGGGTTTCGCTTATGTTTTTCTTTTCTTTTTTCTTAGTATATTTTTCCAAACTTTTTTTGTTATTCCTGTACAGGTATATTAGATATAAAGTCAGAAAAAAGAAAAACTAAAGATGATATTATATGAATTATAAGTGAATAAGTTGGTTAGAATGCAAGGGTAGTTGAGTAAAAATAGACAGAAAGAAACAAATGTGGTGAAGGTGATAGGAAGGGAATACAGTGGTTTGTGGCGGCAGTACGAACACGATACCGACAGGAAATCGGATGTAAAATGGGTAGATACCCACACGGTCCAGAAAGCTTAATTTGGATCCTAGGCTATACCCACAGCATGGACCACAATGCTCCCCGGTTGCCCTAAAGTCCATCTAATTTTGTCGGGCGATTTCTTCCATCATCCCAAATCAGCTCCCTCTGTTTCTTTTTCTTCGCCAGCGTCTTCTATAATATTTTGTTTCTAACACTCTAACATATATTTTGGCTACAGATTGTCTCACATAACCATTCAACTAAATCAAACATCAAAATGACTGGTCAAACTTAGCCTTACCATTTTAGTGGATTTGAACCAAATACAACTTATCATTTCTAAGGTGTTGCTTGGTGTTAATGCTGCTTAATCATAATTACTTTCCTTCTTTCACTTATTCCTTTCATACTTACCGTTGTCTTAAAAAAAAACAAGTTATTTTACGAATATAAAAAGAAAAATTTAAAATTTTATGTTTTGCATTGTATGTGAATATAAAAGTATAGCACATATTCTTTGGTTTGGATCCTTCCATTAAGATTTTGGTGGAACTGATGTTTGAATAAAAAACTAATCTTAGAAAAAGTTATTTGTATTTAAAAATTATATTACAAACAACACAATTACTTTTTTATTTAATGAAAACGATGAGTTTCTATATGAGGGATGAAAAACTGATGTGGGTTGTCCTCCACACTTCTTCACTACAAGAGGCACAATTTATTCTAATTAAAGGAAGCAAATTTTATAAGTTTTACAAACCCGGTGCCTAAATTTAAAACAGCCAAGAAATGTTAATGCTTCGTGAAGCTTAATCTGCCACCCGCCCTTGGTTTCTAGCTACTTGATTTCTGGATATTCAATTCCATTGGCTGCACTTGACAAAGTCATTAAGTGAAAAATAGATAACCTCCTTTGAAGCGCTCACGCCTTTTAACTCTTATTGAGTAGTAGATATTAGTGAAAGCGATCATCCATTTTTAAGTAATAAAGGGGTTATTTTCCCCTATATGGTAAGTTTTAACATTGTTATGACTTGTGAGAAAGACGAAAGACAAGTAATGATGCAGATAGCTTTCTGGCGTTTGGAGGTTTAGGTGGGTCGAGTAAAAGAAACCAGAAACCATGCTCAAGTAACTCTAACTAGCAGCTAAAAGCGATGACTGTAACACACGTATAATGTTATTGATAATATTTTTGGGGGATAGGAAGGTCTTTTGCCCACTATGCTCTTTCCCTCGTGCGTTTTTTTGCGGCAGTACAACTCTTTCATCATCAAAAGCATTTGGAATATAAAGAGTTTAAATCCATTGCATAGTAATGTGGTTTAAAAATGTGGGTTCATACAATTTCATTCAAAGGCATGAAAAGCCTAAAGACACCTTTGTTCATTACATCATCATGTCTTCAAATTGAGTTTGCGGCGAGGGTGTAGCAAATTTTATTATTGTTACATATGAGACTAAAAAATAAAAAATGTGGTTCAATGGTATAATAAATTATATTTACTAAGATTGGGTTGATGTAAACTTTACGACTTCATATGATCTTTTACATTCAAGACTCTCCCATCATTTAAAAGTTGGGGTTCAAATAATTTATAAAGACTCTCACTTTTTTATTATTATTATTATTTAAACAGATTTTCTTAATAAAATGGTGACAGCCACTGAATACCTAGGTGGATAACTTCAATCATGTTAAAAAATGTTACATTACTTAAAATTCTAAGTAAAAAATATTTTTATAAATATTTTATTTTCTAAAACTATTGAAATACCTTCTCCACGTTAATTACGTTTATTTGAAATAGCAAACGTAATAAAGTTTTATATTAATTAACTTGGCCTATAGTGATAGTATAGTGCATTACATATTTGTCTATGCATAGTATAGTATAGTATAGGATGGCTCAATTCGTACACTCAACCAAATGAGAATGGATAACTAAATTTTCCATCTCCGACCAATTTTGTGCAAGATCGTGAAAACTATATAATACACTTGGTTTGTATGAGATTTTTAGTCAATGACAATTGACTTCCTTGCTAAGTATTGTTTCTTTGTCTCTCTTCAAAATCAAAGCATGCCACCGTTTTTAATGAATATAGTAATGTTATTACACTAAATTATTACCCGACAATGAAAGTCTACCGTTGGAAAAATAAAACACGATCGACATGCTAATTTTTAACTGGGAAATTTTTTCAGAAAACCACTTTTGCCTAAGCATTCGAGCACTTCACTTTAAAAAGATCTACACGGTAGTGTTTTGACAGAAACAAATTTAAATTCTAAAAAATTAGAATGCATGGAAGTTTAATATTTTAATTAAGGTTGTCGCGCTTTTGAAATAATTTTTGTGGACAAAGTAGTTTTAAATTATTTAACAAAATTAAAATTTCCCTTATTCACAAATATCTATTTCACAAATTAAGATTTCAAATATAAGTGAAAAGGAGAAGATTTTATTGATTATTTGATAGTGGATAAAAAAGGGGAAAAGGTTAAAATTGTAGTATGAAAAAAAAAAACACGGATAGTTTCTAAGGATTCCAAATAATTGAGGGAAGGCTTTAAAGACCTCTGTTTTCAGTCCATGTGCAATCGTCTCTTGCTTCTTAACTATAAGTGATCATTTAAATTAGCCTAACTCTCATAAAAACTAATATCTAAAAAGGAAAAAAAGAAAAAATTAGCTCCATTAAATAAATGCAAGGAATCAAAGTTGAAAGCGACCTAAACAAAGACGAATGGGATGCTATAGAGTAAAGACAAATGGGTTTAAAGTCCTCACCCCTTAATTTCACTCTAGCAAACTAAAAATATAACGTGGATTAATAATGTTGTCCAAATTCAAGGACAAGGCTGAGAATAGGGTACCCCATATAATTCTCCCTAAGCAAACAACAACAAATACGGTCTTTCATTTAGGTAGAACGAACTGATTGATGCTATTGATTACGTTTTAGCTCTAACAAACACAACTCATGAAAGCAATGTTACATGGACCCTAAACTAAAGACGTGAAACAAAAACCCTTCCAATTTTGTTACACCCAGCATTGAAACACCCCGAATCATTTTTCGTAAAAATGCCGAAACATACTTTCTTTCTTCTTCATTAGATATGAAATCATGAATAGATTCCTACGGGAGCTTTTAATTAGCACTACCGAATAACAAACAATTATTTTTAAAAAACTATTACTAATTTTTAGTGTGATATTTTTTTAACTGCCTTTTTTTTTCTAACATCTACAGTTTAATGCCGATTTTTATTTAAAATAAATAAAAATAATCTCACTTGTATAAACGATTTATTAAATCTTGTTTCATAATATGGTATCAAAACTAATTAAAATATTAATAATTTTACTAATGTCATGTTACAAATGTTCAATCTTTTACAGTAAGATTTGTGGTAAGACTACCCGCGTAGGTTAGAATTTGCCCAAAATGTTTACAAACAAACAAACACCATGCCAACATTAGATCATTATTCACTCACTTATAAGACATTGCCATCATGATCCACATTGCTGATTGCTCCCTTTATTCAAAGTAGTTGGTTTCTTGGGACCATGCCCATTCTCAATGTTCCTCCATCTTACTCGAGACTTCTCAGTGAAAAAAACAAATTTGATCAATGATTGTATAATCCATTAAGTTGCACATTGAGGTCAACGAAAATTACCTATACCAACTTTAATAAATATTTGTCGCACAAAATTTTAATGCAAGAGAGATCAAAACTTAAATATAGAATATGAATTCTCAAGATCTTTATTTCTCCAATTTCCTATCATATTGGACTCGGTCAAAAATCAACCTGGTGTTATAAGTGTGTGTTTCACATTGAAGGTCTAAATATAGTTGCTTTTGAGGTAGACGACTAACAACTTTGAATTTTGAATTAAATTTTAGCAAGGTTTCATTATTCTGTTCACCTACAAATATTTTATTAAATTTCAATATTAATCGAGTATATTTATGGATGGATATGTTAACACTCTTATTTATCTATACATGCACTCTTTAATTATTTATAAACTATAATTATTCTAAATACAAGATTTCAACCACGAAGCATTTAATATGAATTTATCAGTTTTAGGATGTACAAGATGCGTTGATTCTAATTTCCTTTTAGATTGATATTGTAAGAAAAATATAATAATAGATAAGAATATGATGGAGAAGTTGGTTTAAACTAAATCCAGCTATAAACATTTGAAAAAGGAAAAATCTATTAATACTCCAATTCTTGAATTAATAAAAAAAATAATTATATATAAATAAAATGATTCTATTTATAATTTTTATTAAGTTATTTTATACAATAAATTATATTGATATTAATATTATTTAATATTTTAAATTATGTAAGATCTTGTCATTTATAACTACGGAATTAATTGTATTATGTATTATTATCAAATTATTATACATTTAATAAGATTTATACCAAAAAAAAAAGAATTATTCAATGTCACGTATCGAAATTTGGGGAGATACATAGTTACTAGACATTATGCAGGAAGATTATCATATAATATCTTGTGTTCTATTACTTCAGGCGTGTTCAGAAGTTAATTAAGGTATGTAAATATCGGATTTGTAGAAGGTGGTTTATTGCTTGTATGATGCGCAAGGTGCTTATTTAGGAATAATCATCCATAGTCGTTCATGCATCCATCTATCTCGTAGAATCAGTCGTGTGTTTAGATGAAGACAAAATAATTTTGTGAGTGATAAACTGAAGTCTTAAACACAGAATCGTTTTTGTATTAAATTTTATTTAAATACATTTTTTTATAATCTAATTAAAATAATTTTACACTATTATTCAGATTTAAATTGTCACATAATGACTTAAAAAAATCTTATTTGATATGATTTGTAATTGTTTGGTATCCTTTTCATTATGTAAATTTAAGAGGAAATTTGCTGGAAGTTCCATGAGGTTCGGGAAGAAAAGAACTTATTCAGCCAGATGCAAGTGGCGCGCCCCACCGACGGCGACATTGTTGAACACACTCTCCTTGGGGCCGCA